AAATCAATTTTGGAAGAAAATTTGAATTCAGAGTTCGATGACCGCGGGTCACTGATCAAAGTGCATCGGAACACGTTCTATCACAATGTCCTTGGTGTAACTTCTTGCATAATTTCGCCCCGCCGAGCAGGTGTTTCAGTAGCCTCCATAGCATGCCAAAAACTGGGGATTTTGGGGGTCTTCAGGGTCTTTGGAAGCTTTTATGTGCTATTTTCTGATTGCATATAGACAACATAGCCGGCCTGGTTGAATTACCGTTTTTTTTAACTGGACTAATCAGAAAACAGCCCAAGACCACCCAACCCCCAGTTCTATAAGCCTGCTATGGAGGCTATGGTTTCAGATCAAAATTAAAAATGCACTAAAACTGAACTAGCTCCTGATTTGATAGAATATCATGAGTATAGTGACTTAGGCTTGTTGTTGTTAAAACAAACATAATTTTGACGGCCACTTTTTTTATCTGCTTTTTTTCTTTGGTTATCTGTAACTATTTGTCGACGCCGTAATCTAATCCTGGATAGTGAGCGAGTGAGTGTGTGTAGGGGAGGGGGGTCTTTACAGTAGAGTTGTTTACATATCAAGACACATGCTGTCGGTTTTGTCAGTTTTAATCTTTTTCTTGATAATGTGATAAGTATGGTTACCTATACAGAATTTTGACAGCTATTTCAAGGCTAAGAAAATATTGTGAGGGCTTCAATATAGGTGAAGAAATATGTGAACGCTGTTTTCACTAAATTTATGCCGTGAGGCGTCATTTTCAATTTGTGTTCTCCGAGCTTGTGAATTATTTTTCAGCGGTTACTGTTATACAGGGATACTTACACTATGTGAAGTAATGTTTGGTATTGCATTTTCTCAACCTCTTATAGTGAATTTAGATACATGTACTTCCCAAAAGCAGATATCTAGCATTCATAGTTCTGCAATTCATGATGTTGTAACATGAATGTACCGAGGGATATGTATGTTTGCGTTGTAATTCTGTCAGTGTTTTCTGCATTTAAAAAATCCAGGTCTGCTGTGACATTTTGACGACTCTAAAAAATTGTCTTCAATAGTAATGATGATATACCCCAATAGTTAGACATTCATATGCATGCATTATGTGTGTCTGATTTAATCATTATGTGTTCCTGTCTTTTGTAGCTCAATGGCCTAGACATTATATTATCAGTGACTAAATGATTTATAATTTCTTTGATCTATGTTTCTGCTCACTTTTGAAATGCTTACCCTCCTGTTTGGACCCTCTAGATTGGATCTATGCTTGGAAAGGAAGCAGAACTAGGTCATCTGTGTATAATGTCCTTGCTATCACTTTTCTTTCCCACCGACCTCTGCTTGGAGATTGGAATCTAACAGTGCTTGCAATGCATGGGTAGCCCTACTAGGGTAGCCCGTGCTGTTCTTAATTAGAGGCAGGATGCTGAGATACCAAATGCAGATAACCACATGTGGTGCGCTTAATGGACCATGGTGTTATATGTTAGACGGTGGTTCAGAATGTGTGTCCTGCTTTTTCACAGTGTCTGTGTTAGTTTTCTGTTAGGAACCTAACAAGATAATGTAACATTGCAATGATCCCTGGGGTAACCACATGCAGATAACCACATGTGGTGCGCTTAATAGTGTTATATGTTAGACGGTGGTTCAGAATGTGTGTCCTGCTTTTCACAGTGTCTGTGTTAGTTTTCTGTTAGGAACCTAACAAGATAATGTAACATTGCAATGATCCCTGAGATAGCCACATGTGATGCTTTTAATGGTGTTAAATGTTAGACAAGAGCTCAAGATGCCTGTCATTTTATCCTCAGTGTGAGCTCAAGATGCGTGTGCTTTGGTGTGTGCCTTCAGTTGGGAAGACAGAGGCTGACATTTGCGCCACCTGTCTACATTTCCTGGAACTGCAATTACAAACAGGTGTTGTGTGCTTTTAATGCTGTTAGATGTTAGGTAATAGATAGAGCACGGTTTGAGGCTGAATACTTGGATTTAGAACATGCCCGCCCAACCTCGGGGATTTCATGTCACCCTTCTCAAATTAGGAGATGTTACTAGATGTCTGACGCCTGCGGTAGGAGTTGCGAGGCCATGATGCCATGGCCTCACCCCTTATGTTGTGTGATTGAGATGGTCACACCCCCTCGTGTAGTTAACATTTTTCAATTCCCAAGGGAAAGCCTAGTGCTACGATCAATTACGATATTTTGCATTTTACTTGAGATAAGGTCAATATTCACCTGAATTGATTTTATGCCCAAGGGAGATATAAAGCATACCCTTCTACAGCAGTTTGATTAATTCCCTAGGTGATTACCTCCTCTTAATGATCCACCTAAATTGTCTTTCTATAGGATGTTAACCCTCCTTCAATCTGTGTAGGTTGTCACCCCTGATCCACCTAATCCTTTTTTGCAGCCTGTTAGATTTTCTGTTAGGTTTTGAAATGCCCCATGCTCTACTGGGTCCAATATCTTGCCACTACTGGACAGCTCACCTGTTAACCTAGAAGTGAACATGAATTGTTATCACCTCCTTGGAAGGACATATCCTTCCGCTGGAAGGTACTGTTTTCGGCCGTGTTGGTGTGATCGCAGCTATAACTCACGGTGGATTTAACTGATTTCTTTGATTTTTGGTATATGATTAATTACTGGTGTCCAGATGATGAGGGTTGCTTTTTTTCTTTATATCTGTATTTTCAGTTATTGCAAGAAAGTAAGTCGACACCCCCATGTTGTATGCGGTATGGTATCGTCTATCAGCAGCTATGTAACTAATGGCCTATACCACACTACCTTCAGGGGTTTAAGCCTGTATTATAGATACATATAGATAGATATTACTGGTAACATTGCTGTTAATGTTATGTCTGGAATTGTCAACAGTAGTTGTGAACATTGTGCATTACTATATACATCCCGGGTGTTTGTAAGTTCTTGCTGGCTCTGTTTATGTTACCCAGAAAATATTGAAGTTTTTAATTTTGAAGGTAGTTCATCAGAATCATTCACAGCAACATCAAAACTGATCTACCCTACAAACGAAATTTTTTGGCAGTAGTTACTTCTGCAACTCTGTAGCAGAATCGCTGTCTCCATCGTAGATGTACAGATAGTCGTAACCGTCCTCGACGTGGAAACTGTCGAACGTGAGACGAACGCTGCTTCCTTCTGGCACGGTGATCAGCCAACCACAGGTCTGATCGGGTTTGTAGTTTTCGGGATAGTTCGGTGACGTCACGGAACCGTCAGGGGGAGCAGACAGTGTTCCTCCGCACCCCAGACCGCTGGTCGCGGCGTCTGAAGAGTCTAGAGAGAAAAGAAAAAACATCGACGGTCTTACTTACGTTATCATAAATTTACTTATAATTATGTTTACCTTCGCAGACTTTGTGCTCACGACTAACTCACAACCACGGTCTGGAGAAGGTAGGGAAGCCATGGTTGGCTATGTGTGCAAGAGGCTAAAATCGCATCATTTGTACTGACCTAAAAACTATTTTAGGTACACAGCCGTGACAGCCCTAACCACAGCATGTAGAAATAGAACAGAGGGTTCGATGTGTTCGATCGAACACCATAAGGTGTTAGAAATAGAACAAAGGGTTCGATGTGTTCGATCGAGCACCATAAGGTGTTCGAAATAGAACAGAGGGTTCGATGTGTTCGATTGAGGGTTAGTGTTAGGGTAGAAACCCCGGAACTTTCTCACCATCAACAGGAACGAAGCATTGTTGTTCGTCGAAACCATCCGGGCAGTCGTTCTCTCCATCACAAACGTCCGTGCTTCTGTCGATGCACATGGGGGTGTGCGGACACTTAAACTGGCTCCCAGAACAAGGCGGACCGGCTGAAAGTAACATGTATAAGCAAGCTGAAGATATTATCCATGAAGATGCATTAAAAGAGCCATAGGTTGCAGTGAACACTATTCCTAACATGAACGTCTAAGTTACATGCAACTAGTAACATATTTATGTTTGTAGCATAATGTTTGTGACTGTTAACAAAACCTTTGCACATATGCATTCCATCTACCTATGACAGATATTCAAAACATGGATTTGGAGAACACTAGTTTAGCGACTGTTGAAAAGAGTGATGACAATTTTCTTCATGTTGTTGTAAATAACATCATAAACCTCGTGATGTCTTACAGCAGGAACATTTGTTTTCCTTTTTATTTTGTTTTATCTTTTCTGTTATAAACGTTCAAACGTACTAATGTATTCGCAGAAGCCTTCATCGCTCCGATCAGCACAGTCTATATTTGAGTCACAGATAACTTCTGAGGAAAAACAGCCGTTTCCATCCAGACACGTGATGTCACCCTGGGAACAACCTACAGTTTTGCGTTTGATGAAAAATAGGAATTAATACTAGAGAAGTAACATTTGCAAAGCAAATGCATAACGTTTACCTTCGGACATGGTCTGCTCTGTTAATTCTTACTCAAACACATTCACATACATGTACTACTAGTAGATTGTGACAGGAGTAGAGCAGACCATGAAATTGCAACATTATGTAACCCAACACCAGTCACCATGATAACAGACGTCAACAAATCATGCCATTGGTCAGGTCATAGGTCAGGTCAGGGCAAGTTAACTGAAGGTAAACAGCATTAAACAAAAAGTATTCAAATAAGGACCTCATTTGCATAAGGAAATGCTGGAATGGCATTCTTTGTTAAAGACTGTCTTTTGGAGGAGAATATGATCAACTGATCTTATTCATGGAAATGAGGATCCTATTTGCATAATCAGGGAGAATAATCTATAATTTCATGTTTGTACGTCATAAAGATTAACATCATTTGGTGAAGGTATGAGATCGTGGAACTCTAGCTTTATCATTCATCTATGTGCTTAAATAAAGAATACAAATTTTAATCTACCTCCTTTTGTTAGCAGAAAAGCCAAAGGACAAGGACAATGTGGCGCATATATACTTTTATGCCTTAAAGGACTAACCTGTGGGGCCAGGCAGCACTTCTGTGGTCAGATCGCCAGGAGGCGTTGTGGTGTCCGGCTGCACTTCTGTGGTCAGACCGCCAGGAGGCGTTGTTGTACCTGAAACCCGTTTTAGTGGCAAGTTGTAGTACTTTACTAATAGTGGCAAGTTGTAGTATCAATATTGGCAAGTTGTAGTACTTTACTAATAGTGGCAAGTTGTAGTACCGAGTGGCAAGTTGTAGTGCTTTACTAATAGTAGCAAGTTGTAGTACCAATAGTGGCAAGTTGTAGTACCAATAGTGGTAAGTTGTAGTACTTTACTAATGCCTTATGTCGACGTCGGTGCAATTACTGGTTGCTTGCGAGTCTGGTGTCTGTATACACTGTAAATACTGTATACATATTTAAAGCATTTATTAATTCATTCATATGTATGTAAATCATGTCATTTGACAAAGGCATTTTAAAACTGCCAGTTCTGATGTCATGATGTACTTTACTCATAACAGCTTGCTTGAAAAACCTTTTTTTGAGCAATTATCAAACTCAGACTGTCAAAAAAAAACGTTTTAGGTACACAGCCCTAACCTCAGAAAGTAGAAACCCCGGAAATGAAATAGAATAGAGATTTCGATGTATTGGCGTTCGAAATAGAACAGAGGGTTCGATGTGTTCGATCGAACACCATAAGGTGTTCGAAATAGAACAGAGGGTTCGACTTGTTTGATCAGGAACGGTCTATTCTGTCAACCACAGAAAGTAGAAACCCCGGGACTTTCTCACCATCAACAGGAACGAAGCATTGCTGTTCGTCCACACCACTTGCACAGTCGTTCTCTCCATCACAAACGTCCGTGCTTTTGTCGATGCACGCTAAAGTTAGCGGACACTTAAACTGGCTCCCAGAACAAGGCGGACCGGCTGAAAACAACGACGCGTATAAGACGGTTGCTTAAATTATTATGGCATCATGTAACGTTAGATGCATCAAAAGATCTATAAGTAGCAAGAACACCATTCCTAACAACAACCACCGTCGCCATGGCAATGTATGTTTTCATTGTCAGTCTTGTTTGTTTTTATCTTTTCTGTTATAAACGTTAAAACTTACAAATGTGCTCGCAGAAGCCTTCGTCGCTCCCATCAGCACAGTTCACGACGGAGTCACAGACAACTTCTGGGGGAAAACAGGTTCCATCCACACACTTGATGTCACCCTGGGAGCAACCTGCAGTTGATTGCGTTTCATGAAAATGGACAGAATAATATTTATCTTCACTATATACTCAGTGAAGTGAGGAAAGTCGTGTAAACTGTCTGGTAGACGATGTCAGCCCCCGTCGCGGTTAAGTGAAGGGTCGACATCGTCTACCAGATACCTTTGACCCAGTGTTGACGTCACACATCAAAGAAGCCTCGTGACAAGCCCCACTGGGTCAGTCTACTTAGGAAGACCAGAGTGACTGGTCGAAAGCTCTAGGTAAGAGAATTTTTTGTGTTGGACCAAAAGTTTTATCTTTAAACATGTAAATACAAACACAGATGAACATTAATATGTGAGCGCGAGAAATGGTCATAGAATTCATGATTCAGTTATACAGAATACAGTTATAAAGAATACAAATCTTAATCTTAATCTACCTCCTTTTGTTCGCACAAACCAAAGGAGAAGGACAATGTGGCACATATATATAATATTAAGCCTTTAAAGACTAACTTGTGGGGCCAGGCAGTACTTCTGTGGTCAGACCGACAGGAGGCGTTGTGGTGTCCGGCTGCACTTCTGTGGTCAGATCGCCAGGAGGCGTGGTGGGGTCCGCCTGCACTTCTGTGGTCAGATCGCCAGGAGGCGTTGTGGGGTCCGGCAGCACTTCTGTGGTCAGATCGCCAGGAGGCGTTGTGGGGTCCGGCAGCACTTCTGTGGTCAGATCGCCAGGAGGCGTTGTGGGGTCCGGCAGCGACTTCTGTGGTCAGATCGCCAGGAGGCGTTGTGGGATCAGGAACGAAGCATAGTTGTTCGTCTAAACCATCCGGGCAGTCGTTTTCTCCATCACAAACGTCCGTGCTTTTGTCGATGCACTGGAAAGTTACCTGACACCTCAGCTGGCTGCCAGAACAAGGCGCTCCGGCTGAAAACAACGACGCGTATTAGCAAGCTGAAATCCTTATGCATTAAATGATGCATTAAAAGATCCATACGTAGCAAGAACACCATTCCTAACAAGCACCGTCGCCATGGCAATGTATGTTTGCCTTGTCAGTCTTGTTTGTTTTTATCTTTTCTGTTATAAACGTTAAAACTTACAAATGTACTGGCAGTAGGCTTCATCGCTCCCATCAGCACAGTTCACGACGGAGTCACAGACAACTTCTGAGGAAAAACAGCCGCTTCCATCCAGACACCTGATGTCACCCTGGGAACAACCTACAGTTTTTGATGAAAAATAGGAACAGGAAAGAACAATACTCATCTTCACTGAGTTAAGTGAGGAAAGTCGTGTAAACTGTCTTTCCCAAAGGGCACAAGATCGGTGGCATGTCAGGACTCGAACCCGGGACCTCTTGGTTCCGAGTCGACATTACTGATGTTTTATTGAATATGTATATCATACTTATTTGTTGTCTTCAAATACATGTAACTACTAAAACACTCTCAACCAGAACAAACACAATCAGACAACCGAAACCAACATCCAACTCTCAGAAAAGGCGCTTCCTGTACAGAATGTCACAGTTGTGGAACAACACAGGCGACAACTAGCAAAGTATTGGACTGTAAGTAGTATATTTAAGGAATTATGTCATTTTTGCTTCGTATTATTAACTTTGTATGTCTTTGTACGTTTCTCTTCAATTGTAATATGTAACATGAATGTAATGTGTAGACCACAGGAACAATAGCCTCTTATGAGGCTAATTGTGGATCTAAATAAAACTCAAACTCAATAAACACACCGGACAGAATCCCTCCGTACACAGAGGTAGTGACAGTGATCAGACAGACGGCCCACAGTCGGACGCCACCACTGATGTCCATGTTGAGTTCAGTCACCGACTACGGAAGAACAAAACTCATAGCAACGCAATCATCGACTTTTAAAGGCATTCAATGCAGTTTTTAAGGCCTGGAAACCCAATTTTTCAAAGCCAATATCCCAGCCACTTATCTACATAGAGTTGAAACCAATGTATATTGGCCCTCATGGAGCAAAACCCAAATTCTCACAGAACATGGTTAGTGGAAGGGCCCCGGCCTGATTTTAGGGTACCACTAAGAAAATAAAATACCTATCTTGGGGTCTTGTTTCTGCAGTTTTAAATGCTCACAGTAAGAAATGCTGATCCAAATGTGCTAATGTGAAGCAGCATGTGTCAATATCACAAAGATTGCCTTATTCAGAATATTTCCAGTTTTGCTGCCCTGAAGCCGTATTGGATGCCATTAATGCTAGCTTTTTATTTCATTCTCGCTGTTTTTATTACCATTATCAGTGATTTGTTACTTTATATGTTGTTGACCTTTGTTATGTATGTTGAAGCAATGCAATAGCTTCTGAACAATATTTACTTCTGAGTGGTGCAGGAAAATTTGTCTGGTGCTGGTAGTTTTTACTAATCATGCGACTGTCATGTGATCTTCAGGAAAATCCAAGTATGTTTTATTAATAACCAACACATCCATACTAGAGAGTAAAACGACAAACTGTCTGTAGGGTGTAGCTGAATACTTAGGTCTGATTATTTATCCCATTTGTTTAGTACTGAAAATAATTCGTATTATGGGGATAACTATATTGTTATTTGTGTGTCCCATTTTTTCACCTTATGTTCCACCTGTGTGTTATCCCGTTATCCCATTAAATCACCAGAAATATTTTCAGAGTCTCTATGATATGGTAATCTAATGGGATAGTGCCCCTGATACCCCATTAAATTACCAACGAGATTCATGACAATACTTTTCTGCAGCACCGATCCTTAAGCGTGACCGTCAATTCTACAGGCTACTGATAACTATTGCTCCCACTAACTACTATAGACAGTCTCATTTTACGGATGTCCACATGTAATAAACTTTTTCTGTAACATTTTCCTATCGAACATGTAAGGGAAGTAATAATAAAGGAATCATCGAAAAGGTTCGCAACAATTTGACATTCCAACAGCCTTACTTTTTTAAAAAGTGAACTTAAAAATGAAATAGAATTGTGAAAGATTGGATAAGATAAGCTGAAAACAAACTTACTTAGTTGTTGCGGCGCCAGGACTCGATGACGCCCCAACTTGAGCGGATGTTTGCTCAAGAATGAAACAAGTGTGATCTGAACATGCAATCTTCTTTTTCCGCTAGTTTGGTTCAACCAATCACCGTGCCTGATACGGATTTACTCGGTCAGTTCGATACATTCCATCGTTCAGACATCCAATCAGCGTCTTTGTTACTTAGACTACCCCGGCACGAGGCTTGTAGGTTATCGCCGAAGCTATATATGCATAATTTAGTCAGGCATTTCACAAAGAAACACACGAGGCATTGTAAAGTTTTCGTGATTCAACTTTTTTACAGTCACGTATTTTGCGCTGCTTCTCAGTAGTATAGGTGTAAGTATCTACGGCGCTACAAATGCATAATTGAATAGGCATTCAACAATTGTCCGCATAGGATCAACGAACTATAGGGCAAATACTAGTAGACCACATGTATCTACCCTGGAACACTCATGCAGTAACTATAGGAGACATGTAAGAAAACATATCACTTGAGCATGAGCAATTTTCCAAGTTTATCTCCGTAATATTAAGACAAAAAATGTACATGTGATGCTGGAATTGTCATGACCAATTCGCCGAAGAACGAATTCACGTGAGTCAGTGGAACGCAAAAAACGTTCTGATGAAATAGTTTGACAGTGACGTGCTTGTGACGCACTGTACAGTCAGGCAGACTGTTGCCAGGTAGAAATGCTATTTTTAGTAAGACAGTGGGACATATAAAACTGAAACAGAAACAAACACACACACACTGACATACGAACAAACACGCGCGCGCGCATATTCACACACACACACACACACACACACACACACACACACGTACAAGCATTGACACACGTACACACACACACACACACACACACCGTGACACACACACATACATGTATAGTAGTGGATGTATCTGTAGCAGCAAAAGCATCCCTTTCTACATCCCAGCAAATGCTGTGAGTTGGTCTCGGTCCATCCTAAAGAGGTGCCAGTTCTCATCAACAGTGACATCCTTGCCGCCGTGTTTCTTATAAAACTTGACGGCGATGTCGTTCCAGTTCAGACAGACCCACTGCATCTTGTTACAGTTATTCTCCACGCCGATCTGAAGTGTGAAAACAGATGAGTACATCACAGGACACTTTTTAGATACACAGACAACTGCAGTTTTCAAGGAAGTTGCAAGGCGGACAAAATCGGCCTTTGATTTCTGTTACTATCTTTATAATCTCCTTCTTTATAATATCTTCTTTATAATATCCATTTACCCACCGCAAATGAATACAGGCTGGCCAATTTAATACTGTCTTACCCCCACCGAAAGATCTGCTTGGAGATTCCTATCTTTATAGTCGGGGTGAATTGAACGACTTGTCACACTTAACTTTGCGGCAGAGTGAGTAAGTTTATAAAATATAACCAAGAATCGAACGAACCTTTGCTACTCCCTTCATGAGAGACGTTCCAATACCTCGACCTGTGAACAGAACAGATAGTGTTTGTTCATCAGCACCAGTTACCATGGTGACAGACGTCTGGTCCAGGTCATTGACCTTTTCTTTTTTGTTTGGAGAAGAAGAAGAAACAGAGCAAAACCAACATATCTTTCTGTTGCGAAGGTAAACATAACTAGGTACGCCAAAAAAGCAGTTACTCAAGCAACTGGATATAATTTTGGAAGCTCCAGTTGCTTGAGTAACTGCTTTTTGGCGTATATTATTACCTGGATGTCTAACCTTCATTGACGTAAACATAACTAGGTTTCACCTCTGTGAGAGGGCTGTACGTAGAAGTCTTCCAGGTACATGACGCGGCGTACAAAGGGAGAGTAGCAGAAATAGTACATAGCATAGCCGGCTAGACTGACTTCGCCGTCTGCTGCAGTACCGGGGAGCTCCGCTACGAGCGCCCTGAAGTAAGGCTTGTCTCTGAACGCGTCCTCACGCAACGCTAGGGACAAAATCAATTGGGTCTTTTAAACTTACAAATTCGATACTCGTCAATATATCCATTCTGTATGAAATAAAGACTCAACTTCCCACTATATAGCTATAAAGACTAAAAATAAAGACTCGCAGAATTCCAAGAACAAGGTTGAAAGAGTTGAAAATTTGGTGTAAATTCCAATTCATTCCAGTGTTAGAAGGAAAGTTTAGTCTTTATTTCATAATGACTTGTACCAACACTTTCATGCTATATCCATTCTGTGTACAGTTAATGTCACATAGTACAGTAGGCTTGAAAATCAACATGCATGTACAATATCTTAATTAGAAACCACGAGATTGGGTTTCACCCTCGCCTTCTCAAAATAACTCGGATTAAACTTGAACAGTCCCCTACTACATGTACTGTTAGTACCTTCTTCCGTAACTGTCTCTCTGTCGCCCAGTCCTTGGTGCTCCGCTAGCTCCTGAGTTCAAACAAATCACTCAGATGTGGATCATGGATAGATTATTGATGTAAACCATCTACACGACGGACAACACTAGATTCGCTCGTTTGAGAGTATATACTAGGGCATAATGAGTTATCTAAGCCTTCACATCATGTCTTATAAGTCAGTCGTGCATTTCTGGACGTCGAAAAGGTTTGGGAATGCTTGTGTCAAACATGTTTGTATCGAGATAATACAAGGATTCCCAACGCCAATGACTAGAGATGAGGATTCTGAAAAAAAAATCACGTATTTGACTAGTACATTGCATTAGTGTCAATTGTACTTGTAGATATGCTGTATACCATTACTAAGTCATAGTACCTTGATGATGCGGGCGATCTCTTTACAGTCTCCAGGTCGGGCAGGGCGGATGATGAAGTCTTCAGATGCCATCTTAGAGAGAGAAGTGATTCTGTAAAGGGTTCAGTTCAAAAATCTAATAGAGAAAACTTTCATAAGTAGTCACTCATCAATACTTATGTGATATTAGAAATAGCGATTGACAATGATTAAAATATGTTGCAAAGGACATCGTAAAAATTACATCACACGACTTGTTCTGTTAACTGATTGTCAGATCATAATGATGATATATCATACGAGTTTCTATAATGACAGTAATAGTTACTCAAGCAACTAAATCCACCAGTTGCTTGAGTAACTATTACCTTTAAGTTGGTATCTTATTACCTGGATGTCTGTATATATTACCTTCATTGAAGGATCTATAATGACTCTAGATATAGGTTAAGAGGTTCTAAGAACAACAAAAAGTGAGGATCTCATACCTTGTTAGGCTTGTTTAAATATTTAGGGTTGAAGAAACAGTGCTCAGGGGACAAGGTCCGTTCACCGCTAGAAGCCTTAATGGACGATTCCACTTACAAACGGGGGTGTACCAGGAAGAATACCAGGGGAGGGATTAGAACAACTTGGACAAGTTACGGTTATGCTAAGAATTTATGCATGTTTTCGGTTGCCTTGCATATCTCTGCATTTGATTTCTTTGATTTTAAAATCTAAATTTCTAGCAGCGTCCTTGGAGAAATACAAAGCCACCCCTCCCCCACCCTACATGCTTATGGTACATTTTGGTGACCGCCCTTTGAACTACATTCTGTACTATATGGGTCATGTTGCTACTTAGCATGATTTAAGATTCAAGGCACCAAGAGGTAAATACCTAGATAGACAAGTTGACTCTGAACTGAACCGAGAGCAAACCAGCATCAAGCAACCACGTCTAGCAAGATATTAGACATTAAACAAGGACAACAAATGATTTAAATTGGACCTTGTACTCTTCCCTGAATGTTTGATTGACCGTAAGACTATAGGAAAATTACAACTTTGCAAAAAAAGAACAAGTAAGGCTGAGACTTGTAGCTTTAAGAGGAATTGTCACGGGCAAAATAAGCCTTTGCATCTGGCTTTTACTGTACCATTAAATTCTATTCAAGTCTTGGTGAACTTTTGACCCTAGATGGTAATGGGAGCATAGTTATAAGGGTGCAAACGTAGATCAACTGAGACCAGAAATGTGCATGTAGGAAACTTTGAACTAGAAGGCAACAGTTGGTATCAAATGCAGTCCTGTGTGTGAGGACCACAAGCATGTTAAAGCACCCACCACAGATATCGATAAGACTTAAGGATCAAACGAACTCAAAACTTAATGTAGATCTAATTAAGTATAATACTTAAGAACATATAAGTAACGAAGGTTGGAAGACATTTTTAATTAATCCACATAAACCATAAATCTATTCTGTAAGATTATAAGTTATTTATGATGATGATGATAATGATGATAAGTTATATACTATTGTGTATGTTTACAGTAAATGCTCGTAATTCAATACAAAACAAAAACAAAGACTACGTTTGTGGTAGCAAAAGTTCGCGGCCTGAGAGAAATGGACAGAACTATCATGAAAAAATTTAGTATTGCACTTTTACCTCATGGTACAGAGGTATTGTTTTGGGTGTGTTTGTCTATGTGTTTCATTTCTTAAAATTTCTTTTTTTTTTAATTTTATTTTACCAGTAGATCACACTCAGGTCTGTGACCTGTTTTTCAGGTGTCCCTGGGTATCTGTATCTATATCTGTATCTGTATCTATAGCCGGTATAACCGCCCCTCGGTGTAACACACCAGCTTCGCAGGCATGCGGTGCAGCGGCAGCTAGATTCATTACACTTTTACACCTAACCCTTAACATTACACCTAACTCCAAACATTGTTTAAAGATATCTTTGGAGGTTTGCTGGTGTTCATAGGTATTTGAATGCAGCATTAGTTATTCTCCAGCAAATGCTGTGAGTTCTTCTAGGTCCATTCTAAAGAGGTGCCATTTTTCGTCGACAGTAACATCCTTTGCGCCATGTTTCTTGTAAAAGTCGATAGCGATGTCGTTCCAGTTCAGACAGACCAACTGCATCTTGTTACATCTGTGCTTTACTCCTATCTGTAACAACATAAGGTGTACACATTATATATATAGCAATATATAATTATACTGAAAACAAGTACATGTATATACATGTGCATTGGTCTATCTTTTTAAAGTGTTAAAAATTCATGGGAACATACAAAAATTTGGTACATACATTTGTATTTAGGAATACTAGTGCATATACAATCATACATCATCATATCAAGATGCAGGACATCAAAATCAACCAAAAGATATAAGAATTAGGTTTTATGCACTTTTGGCTACGAGTACGTAATACATGTACTACATTTTCTGAGCTTGTCTCACCTTTGCCACTTCCCTCATAATTGAAGTCCCAATGCCTCGACCTGTGGGGGACAAACAAAATCATTGCGTGAGCATTTAAAGAAACAAAACGCACACTGTTTGTTTTCATCCGCTCAGGTTGTTGAGTGCCTAGGCAAGTGGACACAAGATTGAGAGGTCATGGGTTCAGTTCCTTGTATATCCACCATTCGTTCAGCGTAACACACCAGCTTTACAGGCATGTGGCTCGACAGCAGCTGGCTATTATTTACACTGAACAAAACATCTCACTTTTGCACATCTAACTGCAGGAGGTATTTAAAGCTATGTAGTGATGGCAGTAAACTTATATTACTGGTATATCAGCTGGTGTGTTACGCCGAAGGGCAGTTATACTGGCTATACAGATACAGAAGTTGGTGTGTTACGCCGAAGGGCAGTTATACTGGTTACACAGATACAGATACAGGTATCCTGGATTGTCTTGAAGATTTGTATATTCTTCAAAGCAACAACATACAGTACGTACCTCTATATGCAGGCTCCACATAGAAGTCCTCTAGATAGATGCCCCTGCCCAGCCAGGGACAGTAGCAGAAGTAGTACATGGCATAGCCGATCAGACGGGGCTGGTCGGTTAGATCTGAGCACACTTCTGCCACGAGCGCTCGGTAGTACGGATGGTCTCCAAACGCATCCTCTCGTAATGCTGGAACAATGGATAATACATGTAAAAACAGAGGTAGAAATACTTTTTTCAGTGTTCTGTAATATTGCAGAATGTCAAACTTTTTGTTCTGCAATTGGGAAATACTTTACACATACAATGTACACACTTAAACTCCCATGTAAACCCATGCCATGGCATATAAAAAATTGCATGTTTGGGAACATTTTACATGCAAATTACTGTACTTGTATATCATATTCAGTAGCAAACACAAAAGTTCTTAAACACCACTGAACCCCTAGCCTGATTTTTCTTCAGTCAGCAAAATTGCAGGTTGCTTAATTTTTCTTCTGCAATATTGAAAATGTCTCTGCAAAATGCAGACTGCAGGTGGGTATTTCTAACACTGAAAAATGTAGTTTACATTGTCTTTGCATCTATTTGATCCATAACTCCATTGTGTCTGATGATCGTTCTTTTGCTTAGATTTTGCTCAAAAGAATCTGAATGGAAAGACTGTGAGTCATCTTAATCTGAAACAGCTCAGAATAGCATAGCAAAAATATGACAATTCTGATTTTTATATGATATGTATATGACAAGAACAAGCTTTAATACCTTCTTCAGTCAGGGTAGCTTTTTCCAGCATCTCTTCATACACTGCTAACTCCTGCAGTAAAAGACAACTGTAAATATTTCTCCCTGCTGCCTAACGCTACATAGATGCTAACTTTTTCCCTGCTGTTTTCACAAGTGGTAAGCTCTTCTGCTGTTACTTGCATGTAAAGCTGAACTCGGCAGATTTCCCCTAGATATAGATGTTTCAGTCAGGGTCGTAAAGTACTGGTTACGGCTAAGACAACTAGATTTCTGCACACATCCTCTACAAGTGGATGCTCTATTGTCGCAACAACATGATATGTTAAACGTCAACAAGAAAAACTGGTTATGCCACGTGAAAGAGATACTTGACAATAGCGGTAACTCGTTCATTTGGCAAAATAGCAATCTGCATGTAAACAATAGATTTGTATGTGTATCGTTGAGAAAAAGACTAACAGACATGTATATTCAAACCTTCCTCCACAATTTATCTATCAATAGCGGCAAATTAAGATTGTATAGAAAACTAAAATCTGACTATAATATGGAAACCTATCTGCATCACCCTGATTTTGAGCTAAGATCATCTCTATGTAAAATGAGACTAAGCACTCACACATTAGAGATAGAGAGAGGAAGATATAAGAAACTGCCTATAAGCGAAAGATTCTGTAAATACTGTACAGAGGGAGCAGTGGAAGATGAAATGCATTTTATCTGTCAGTGTCCTCATTACGATTTTGAAAGAAAAAAGTTATTCAAAGAAGTCGCCAATATTTCCCCAAGTTTTTCAAACCTCAACCAACAACAAAAGACTATATTATTGCTAAAGTCTCCCAACCCATTTATTTTTCAAAGAGTCGGACAATTCATCTCCCACTGCCTCGCTCCTGAGAAGAAGTCAAACCCCCTAATAGCATGACAAGAATAGTTTAATAGAATAGAATAGATTAGAATAGCAGTTACTTTGTTCCTATTACCTGGTCACATATTGTATATCTACTTTTTACCCTGTATGTATTCCAACGTTATTAGGTTTAAGTAGAGATAGTAGGTTCGATAAGTATATCGTACACGTAGAAGTAGTTAGCAAATAGTCTTATATCACCACATTTTTCTTGTTAATGTCTGTATGCAATTAGCCCTCGGGCATGAATTTGCAATAAACATCAACGTATTAGCATCCTTGTTTTATATTATTGATAAAAACAAGGATGTTTTTATATATTTTTATTATATATACAATCATTATATTTGTAATAATATAAAAACAAGGATGCTAATACAAGTAACAGCAGTAAGTCAAAAGTGCAGGGAAAAGGCAAATTCATAGGAAAACAACCATGGTACAATGTATTACTAAGTATCAACCACCATGCATGTATGACTGACATTATGGAAAATTGATAACGTAACTTTCATGTACTGCAACTTCTTAATTTTTCACTGTATTTTTATTCTCACGGTTTTCACAGTCACTTCTGTACCGTGAATTTATCAAATCATTTTGTCTTTGCCCCCCCCCCTTCCTGCACATGCCATCACTGTGAAGATTGTTTTTGTGGACGTGTCAATTTTCCCCAGGAAATTTTTCTACCATGCATGAAGACAGTGAAATATTACAGTATACGAATACACATATAGCTATTTTTGTGTTAGCCATGAAACTTACTTACCTTTATCATCCGCAGTATTTCTCCGCAGTCTTCAGGCCGAGCTGCATGTATAACAACATTCTCACTGTTCTCTGATGTCATATTTACTGCAAAATTTGCGTGCACAATGTAAAAAATAGGAATAAAAATAAATGTCCATAAACCGTAGGCATCAATGTGGCACTAGGGATATCAATCAATTATTTGAGTGAGAAATAAACCCCAATGCACAAATATTTCAGATGTGCACACTACTAACTATTCATATCAAGAGAACAATTGGAAAGATACTGTGAGACTACCACTACCAGCAATTCCATAAAAAAAACTGATGAAAGACACAAACATAACTCTTGACGACAAGAACAATACTTCTATAGCCTTGTGTTTAAACAATTATTAATATAAAGAGGTACTCTGTAAAGTTACTCTTTTCAGAACCCCCTTCATGGTGAATCAAAATTTCCTAGTGGTCAAAGTACACTTTCAGTTTTACATCTAGGATTAAGCGTATTTTGGGTCAGAAAAACACAACCAAACCTTCAAAAGGGTATTTCAGAAAGTTCCTTACACAATTACACACATGATAACTTCACAGAAGGCCGGTTTCTTGAATAAAAGAAGTTTAAATACCTGCGAACCTGGAAGTTAAATGACTTCCCGCCCAAATCTGAAAGAAGACCTTTGACCCCCTGGTAGGGAAAAACCATTAGTGTATAATTCGGGGGTAAGAACCGAGTGATAAAGAATAAACAACACAATACGACTGCTTTTCGTTTTTCTATTATATACAAGTTAGCTGAATTTTGAAATTTTAAATTTTGTCCTTCTTTTTTTCATTGCTTTGACTAGTTTCAGTATGTAACATAACACTTTGATATTTTTTTGAGCCACCCCTTCAATTCGATTCTTCCATTACGCAAGATGGCTGCGCCCGGCAGAAAAATAGGCCGTCTGCTGTTTTGATCATCAAAATAGTCGATTTTATAAATTTTACAGAAGCGTTCGAGTGAAAAACTAATTTTTGTGCTATCAGGTACTACTTGTGGATAACTCTAGCCATGAATCGGGTTCTGTACGTCCGAAATCTGGGGAGAATTTCCTTCTCGGAGGGCTTGAGAGTCCAGGAGCAACTTCAGCGGCAACACTTGGACGAGCTAGCCGGAAAAACGAAAGATCCAGCGAGAGACACTCTGCTCCTGTGTGAACATTACCCGGTCTACACCACAGGGTACAGAACGGCACAGTATCCGGCCGCAGAGGAAGACAGGCTGAGGAAATTTGGGGCTGAGTTTCATAGGTAGGTGAGGTCAGGTCGTAGGGAATAGGCAGGGAGGGAGGTTCATAGGTACGTCGCTAGGGGGCGTGCGTGAGTGGTGTAAGAAATAATCTCCAAGCAGATGTTTCGGTGGCTGCAAAAGACAGTATCAGCCAGGCAGTATCCATTAGCCAGACAGTATCCATTTGCCACAATTGACACTTTCTATATATATTTCAATTCAGACAGATGGAATTCACTTCGAAATGTAGCGGGCGAAACATATACTGCCTGGCCAATTTGATACTGTCTTTTGCTGCCACCGATTAGTAAGAAAGTGTTCAGTATCAATATCTATAGCATACTACCCTCAGTAGTAGGGTGGGATATGAGTAATCAATTTCTTTTATACATTGCAAAAGTATCAGTCATCGTCTACAAAAACTATAGGTAACCTTTCAATGTAGACTAAAATACATATAAAACACCATTGTAATAACATGAGATAGCTGAACTTTGCTTCCTTAGTTTTAAAATCTGGACCAAAATTGCAGTTTTTGCACAGGTTTCAGTCTTTCTGAAGGATATATATGAAAATTATACTGTTTATTGATATTTATGCACATGTATTTGGTAATTCTATCATCATATGCATGGTACATGTTACATGTTTCAGGACCAACCGAGGAGGGTTAATAACCTACCATGGCCCTGGGCAGCTGGTTGTGTACCCTGTACTGAACCTGGCACATTTCAGGTGGGAACAGGGTTTCTATCTGCCAATGTTTCTGAAAAGGAACTTTGCAAAATTACCAGATATTCATTACACAACATTTGCAGTTAGATGTTTAAAGGTTAGATGTAACAAGTTGTTCAATGTAATATAACCAGCTACTGCTGCACTGCGCCTGCAAAGCTGGTGTGTCATGCAGAAGGGTGGTGATACTGGCTATACAGGTACAGATACAGGAGAACTTTAAGTTTTATAATGCCTGCTGACATTTCAGTGATTTTGTACTGCTTGTGTGCAAACAACTTTGTAATCAAGTGATTTACCAACTACATGTAGATGAAACTACAGTATTCGGGAATATGACAGTAACAATGTAATAATGTTCTACATGTGTATATAAAATACAGCATACAGGCCTTTCTTTAGTAATTTAGTAGTTACTGACTACATCACAATTCTCGCAGGTCAAGCCCATAGGAGGCCCAATCAGCCCCTGACAGGTAGAGTTTGTGTAACACTGTTTACTTTTTTTTTTTTTTAACCGAATTTAACATCATTTTTCCCCAACCGGGGGTTAGACATGCTTGCACCAAGTACAAGTCTTTCTTTGAAGCAGGATTTTTACGGCTGGATGCTCTTCCTAACGCCAACCCAAACCCTAGTAGGGCCTGGGATCCCTCTAACTGAGGGGGGAAATGCGTGTTAAGTGCCTTTCCCAAGGGCACAACGTCTGGGTGCATGTCCGGACATGTCTGGGTCCAACCCTGGGGATTGAACCTGGGTCTTCTTGCTTGACAGTCGGACGCTCTATCCACTACACCACACAGACGCCAATTTACAATGGTTTAAACTTCTCTTCCCAGGAAGTCGATGAAGTGGTACATCTGTCAGCTGGAGAAAAGCGTGATCCGCACCTGTCAATCATTTGGTATCCAGGCGCAGACGTCACCTGATACAGGGGTGTGGGTCGGCGACAGGAAAATCTGTGCTGTAGGTGAGGAGAACTGTATTCATTTGTTTGGCTGAAGATACAGTCAAGACTGCCCAGCTAGTACAGGGGGGCCTGCATGCCCTTTTTCGTAAGGTGTAATCAGGCCTTTTAAGTCTTCGTAATCCGTAGGCAGCTTCTCCAAAAATGTTTTAAACAGCTACGGTATCAGTATTGAGACATTTTCTTGCATTCTTTTTGTGGGAGCTTTAGGCACAGGTTAAATTAATACACATCAATAATGGGTGACTTGGCTTTGCTGAGAATAGGAACTGTAGCAAGGACACACTGCAGTATTAGCCAAAAGAAACAGCATCATGCTTTACCAAATGCTTGTTAAGAAACCCTTACAATTCCTTTTTGCCCACATTGCACACTAAGCCAGACTCTGTCCACCCCCCCTCCAGGTGTCCACGGCAGCAGGTTCGTCACCACCCACGGCCTCGCCCTGAACTGTAACCCCGACATGACCTGGTTCCGACACATCGTGCCCTGCGGGATTGTGGGAAAGGGCGTGACCTCGCTCAGCATGGAGCTCGGGCAGAACGTCAGAATCCAAGACGCCGTCCCCACGATGGTCACGTCATTCGCTGAACAGTTCGACTGTTCCGAAGTTAGAGACTGGGACCAAAATGTGCCAGTAGAGACCCAAAGTGAGGGAAGCAAGATGCACTACTGGATCTTGACAAAAGAGGGCACTTTTCATCTATACATGTACTACTAGTATTCAGTGCTCAGTAGCTCCTAACAGAGGATGGGTGCATTTTCATTGTCTATGTTATGAGACAGAAGTTTGACAGTGGAACCAAAATGTAGCCAGTAGAGAGCAACAGTGTGGGTGAAGCAAGATGCAGTACTGGTTCTTGATAAAAGAGGGCGCTTTTTTCATGTAGTATCTCCTTACAGAAGGAGACAGAGAGACAGAAGTTGACTCAAAATGTGCCAGTAGAGACCTAAAGTGAGGGGGAAGCAAGATGCAGTACTAGTTCTTGACAAAAGAGGGCACTTTTTATCTATCCTATTCTGTGCTCAGTAGCTCCTAACAGAAGAAGGGTGCATTTTCATTGTCTTATGAGACACAAGTTCGACACTGGGACACCAGAATGTACAAGCAGAGAGCCAAAGTGAGGGTGCTTCAAGTTGCAGTACTAGTTCTTGATAAAAGAGGGCGCTTTTCATCTATCCTATTCTGTGCTCAGTAGCTCCTAACAGAAGAAGGGTGCAATTTCATTGTTGTATCATATGAAATGAAACAGTAGTCCATACTTTGTAACTGGAAACAATAAAGATTGTATCTAATTATCTGAAGTCTACCAGAGAAGTGATGGTTCATGGTATTGCCAGCATCAAGAATACTGTAATTCACTTCGTCTTTATTTCATGGAAGCAAAATTCATGGTCTGACTCTGAGGAAAATGGACATGTTTACATAACTTATAATCTTGGTGGCAAGTGCAGGGAGGGAGACAAATGATTTGATAACAGTAATGATAAGTTCCTGGTACAGACCATGAACATAAAAGAGTACTGTGAACGATCAGGAATTACAGTAGAACTTTGCATTTTTTTTATCGTGCCCACATGCCTCTTTAATTTGCTGCAAAGATCCATAAACCAAGAAACAATTTTGGTGTGTCCTGATCATCAGACCGTGATGAGGAAGACTTGCTCCAGTGGGCTGGCCTGGCGACTCCTGCCACAGAGGAATTCCACAGTTCCCTGCCCCTCTGTCACATCCAGGTCATGTTTACTGCAAAAACAACCCAGGGATGAGAGAGGGGGAACTCCTGTGGGTGAGTGGTAGCCTCTACCAGGCTTCGGGAGGCACCTGGAAAGAGTAGAAATCGTATTCTCCAAGCAGGGGTTTGGGGTTATTTTTGGCATGTTTTTAGGCTTTTTTATGGGGGTTTCTCTTTTGCACTGGATTTTTTTCCCACCCAACCCAACCTCTGCCGGCAGTTGAAAGCATCAATGGGTTGGGTGAAAACCCTGATAAAAAAAGCCTAAAATGACCCCAAACCTCTGCTTGGAGAGTATAGAAATCGGCCAAATAGAGAGATAACATGCCGGGGAGTTGGTCCGCTAGAGTACAGTTCAGGTGCGGCAAAATGTACTCTCTAGCGGACTAGATCCCCTGGCATGTTATCTGTAGAAGCTAGGGGAGTGGTGCTTGGAGCTATGTAGCCAGCACCTTGGCAGAACGTACTGTGCCTGTGCAAAAACCCCATTCCTCAGTTTTCCTCTGATTTTTGGTCAGTGTTGCATCAGAATTTTGCCTGTTGCAGAGGACAACTTTTCCAACATAACATTTCGAAACTAGTGTTAACCTTATATGTGCGAATACGACCACATGATGTTCTACCAAAGTGCTATGCACAATACAAATTGAATTTTGTGCAGGTGCAGTACATTATGACGATGTGCTTATGTAGCCTATTCAAACATCTGTGTATTTTCATCCATTTCTTTATATATAGGGCTTTGGAACCACATGCACACAGCTTTGACTGTACCACACATACCAAAGAAATGAACAGAACAGAGACTCTATGTTGAATTCTTCTTGTATAACTTTTATTGTCCAACATCTATCAGTGGTAGCTCCTGCTCGAGTCGTAACGTTTTCTCACAACTGGTAAAACCAGCCTGACCACCCCCGCACTCGAAGTCTACCAGTCCAAAATATGGACCTCTCTACTGGCATAATATAGTGGGGGTGGTCGGGGGGATTTTAACAGTCGTAAAAAAAAAACATTTTAACAGCAAGAATTACCAAGTTTAAGCACACTGTCAGGAAGAAAGAATCACTTTTCAATACACAAATGTTACAAATGGTATTATTTGAGAAGACTTCAGTATTATTATTATTATCATTATTAGCCACTAGAACTACGAAAATACTACAAAATTTTCATTTACAAAATATACAACTATAAATAGGGCATTTGGGGGCTACATCGTACACTTTGAAGCACATAGTTATTCGTTATTGCTTTCCAACCCAAATGTGAGGCAGCAGAAACAACCACAATGTCCTAAAACCCACCCCTTCACCCCTATCTCGGAAATGGTATAGTCTGTGGAAGACGACAACGCACAGAATTCAGGACTACAACACTTGACGACGGGGGTGGGAGGATTGTCTGTACACTACATGGAAAGAATTGTTCCCAATGGCACATTTCATGCAGAGAAAAAAAAACAACTTCTGCAAGCATTTGTGTAAAAACAACAAACTTTCTACTACAGTGGTTCAACAATACACAATTTCCACCTAAATATACTTATTATCGATCTGTACAAATACATACGTCCCATGGTTTTGTCAATAATTACATATGGTTGCATGTAATGTGCCATAGGTTTTCTATTAAGTAGGACTTTACAAAACTGAGAAGTTTGTGGGAAAAGCTACACCGTGAACAGAAATACCAAGAGAAGACAACATTTACCTCCCTTTCCACCCCTCAAAACTATAATAAGACAGTCCAGTTCATATACAGAAAGACTGGACATTGGACAGTTCTATTCTGGGGAAGGGAGGGTTGTTACTGTGTGCAAAAAGCATCTGTTCAAATGTACAAAATATACTGTTGTTACTGACATACAAAATAGCTTATTATGCAACTTGTACATTTTTACATACGAGCAACAATTTGACAAGTCGTCTGGATTCAACCAGCTCGCAACTCTAACAGTTGTGAGCTCTTCTATACTTTCATAAACACATAAATTTTTCACGATTAACATCCAGAAGGCAATGTTGCCAAAAAGATATAGATCTTCGTAGCAAATACAAAATATCGATCAAGCCTTCTAGTCTTAGAAACATTGTTACAGGTGCAGGCTTTAGCAGTTTTGCTGTAAGTTTCTGTTTGTAAACAATTATGACATACAGTGCTCTTCCATTTTGTCATGACAACTCTACCAACTTGATGACAATACGTAGTGATTGTGTCAGCGTGCTCTACGAGTGACAAACCATTATGCTACCTTCACAATGATGTTTTCACAAAGCTGGTGATCTTGACCGTGACATACAACACAGCCATGGAAAAGGTTCAAAGGCAACGCGGCTTTTGGCCGTAATTCTTCAGTGTGCTAAGTGCGTCCGGACACGGCTTGTCAAAGCTCTGCTCTGCCTTAACTTTAAGTCCAGTCCTTGGCCATATGGACTGTCTTAACAACTCTGTTTGTTTGTGTCTGTCTTTCCTCTGCTTTTGAAGTCTCGGAGTCCTGAATCTGAGTCCATACAGGAGGCTGGTGGATGGTTATGCCAGTGAAATGGAAATTTCAGCGTGTGCGTTTTTGTTGGTGTTTTTTTTCTGTGGTCCACTGACTTTAGTAAGGCACCGTGATCCATCTATGTACCCTACAGAGTTCTTTATAGTGTAGAACTAGAGAATGGCACTTGGTTTTATGTAATGCAGCAGCATTGCTGTTTGTTCTGGTTTCAAATTTGGATCTTTTGTGTCTCTGGTATGAGCAGCCACTACATACTGTACGCTGGTCAAGACTACATTTTCTTCACTGACAACACTTACTCCAAGACATATATGTTAAGGCCTTCCATTACTAGACGAGAAACACTTTACCTATTCCCAAGACAACTTTTTTTTATCATGACATAATTTACACAGCGATATTTAGCATATCGCTGGCCTTGTTCCCTGAAAAATGCACAAAAAACACAATTTCCAAGAAACTGCAGTATGTGTATGCAAATGTACAAAATTACAAAGACTTCCTATTGTCTGTGTTACTCTCCACACTTTCTTATTCCTATACTCACATCAATTAATCTTTTTTAACTGGCTTTTACTTGTCTTTTTTTATACACTTTACGACAAATACAGTTGTAGACCAGTAGTACATTTCAGAAGAATTTTAAGAAGCAATTCATTATATATCATATCTATCCATGGTCCAATTTTACTAGTAAATTTTCCCTACACGTCACACTCAAATACTACCAAATACACCCCTTAAAACTTATGTACAAAACTATTTCTCTTTGGTCGGTCACAAAACTGTACAATTTTTAAAAATTGTCGGGCGGGGGATAGAAAGAGATAGAGAAAGGGCCATGAAAAAGCTACGAAGCTTTCTTTTCCTACGGGACAACAACTACTACGACAGAACAGTCTCTCTCTCTCTCTCTCTCTCTCTCAGACGACTGTTTCGTCCTGTTTTCTAAAGCATATCTGTCCGTAGAACCTTTTCCATGCCTGCACAGTCTTCCCCGTCCAGATCCAGATGCCGGACGTGATCCCCATGATCAGCGCCATGAGGTACTTGATCATGAACACGGTAAAGTCAGGGTTGGCGCTCGGCCGCGCGTGCGGGCCGGGAGGGCACGGGATGAAGAACTTCTCGCAGTTGTCGACCTCCCACGACCTCTCCCACTCGCGCCGGAACGCCTGCTCGTAGAAGTAGCAGGCGATGACGATGGTCGCGGGGACCGTGTAGAGCACGCTGAACACCCCGATGCGAATCATCAGCTTCTCCAGCTTGTCCGTCTTCGTGCCGTCTTGCTTGATGATCGTACGGATCCGGAACAGGGAGACAAACCCTGCGAGCAGGAAGAGAGTCCCGATGACGAGATACAGGAACAGCGGCGCCAGGACGAAGCCGCGAAGGGCGTCGATGTCGGAAATCCCCACGAAGCAGACCCCGCTCAGCACGTCTCCGTCTACCTTCCCCATGGCGAGGATCGCGATGGTTTTGACTGCGGGAACTGCCCAGGCCGCGAGGTGGAAGTATTGGGAGTTGGCCTCGATAGCTTCATGTCCCCACTTCATGCCTGAGTAGGAAAACAACAAAAACTGTCACTTTGTAGTTCAGCATAGAACACAACTTTATCATGTCAATAGAGCCTAGAACTTCACAATACATATCTTCTATCTACCAGGCTACGATAGCACCAAAGTGTACTCCTTAGTGAATTTCCCCAGCATATTATGGTATCTATCTGGGCAATTTCTACCTTCTCTGGGCAGCTGGTTGTAGGATGGCCGGCTTAAGAACACGTTAAAAATTATACAAAACGCAGTATCAAAACTCCCACCCGCCCAGAGGCCTGCACAGGAGGCTAGCCTATGAAGCCCTGTAGAGTGCTCTTCTCCAAAATCCCAAACAAGCAAAATAAGTTTCCAGAAAAGTTACACACCTGCTGCGAGGAACCAGGTGAGAGTGAGGATGACCCACCACAGCGAAGACGCCATACTGAAGAAATACAGCATCATGAACAGGATCGTACAGCCTTCTTTCTTTGTGCCCTGCAAAAACACAACAAGAGTCCAACTTTAAACAAAGTTCACATGTTTGAAATCATTTGTCAACTTGCAAAATTTTTCTCCATATCTAGGAAAGACATATCGTACACCCTTCTTTCTTTGTGCCCTGCAAAAACACAACAAGATTCAAACTTTAGTCAAGCTGACAGGTTTTAAATCATTTGTAAGTTCTCTATATCCAGCAACGATGACCAGGATTGTTTTTCTTGTTTCTCTATGTCCTTGCTTCCAATATGCATTCTTCCTTGATGTTCTACAAAAAACACTGCAACGTAAAAATAAATGATCAGTTTCAATTGGCAGCAAACCACTACAGCAGCACCTAAAAACATACAAAAATATAATGTTTAAACAATACAATGGTTTAGTGAATATAACACTGTAGATTCAAAATGGCAGGACACAACAAAACGTCCTTCGCGACCTTTCTCGGCACACCTAACTTAGCCAAAGACATCGAGATCATCACTGAAAAGAAGTCAGTATTAAGGGCTGTAGCAGCCTTCCTGTACTAAAGTAGATGACACACTGCTAAAGAATTGTAAGGAGACACCTCAAAGGCACCGCCTGGCAAACTGCCATGCTCCTCTATGCTCTGTTCTATAGATCTTTCTGCTATATTCTCATTGAATCATTGTTGTAGCTGATTTCTACACATCAACGTTTTACTTATACCGTAACTTTTACTGTGGTCAATACTATTCTCAATCTTGTTCATAATTAATGACTTCTACCAACACAGATAAACTTTCAAGATAATACTATTCTTTGTAACTTATAACCCCCTAAGACAATTTTTCTTGCTTATTGGAGGACAGATTTTGTTTTCCCTTTGTTACAGCTTTATTCTAAAGTTATAGTTTCATTTTTTGACAGATTTTATATGAAAGATTAAAAAAAAAAACTTGTTGAAAGACAGTGTAGGAGGCTAAATCACAGCGTAGGGGGTCCAAATCACAGGGGGCCCCTACGCTTGAATGGTCTAGGAAGAATCATGTTTAGGGCACAGTGAGTGTACTGCAAAGTTGTTTCCATGGTTTATCAGTAAGTGAAGGCCTCTAGTGGGAGACCAAAGCTTGACCCACTGCCAAGTCCACCACATCAGCCTGTATTTGGTGCCTAAGCCAGACTTGCCTGGTTTATCAAGGATTTATCTCCTTGTCTGATGGTCTCTGGGAGGTATCATACATGTTGTGGGATTATGTATATATGATGGCAGAATGTCTATGTTGTAAACTAGACTTTAATATAAGCTGAGAACCTTCTGTTTAAGATATGTCAGTTCCAGTGAGACTGTACATACAGGTTGAGTGTGTCTGTCATCCAACTGACTCCATTATTCAGAGATTAAACATCAACATGATACTGATAGATTCACATTTCTGGGAAACTAGACCAGAGACATGGACAAAAGCTTTCTTGGCACGATATCAAATTGGATGTAATACTGTACATATGTGTGATTCATACTGAAAATAGTTTGTGTGTATAAGTGTGTGTGTGTGTGTGTCTGCATGCGTGCATGTGCCCTTGTGTATTAAAGACATCAGTAGAAAGGAGAAAGGTTCATGTCTAAAAAGCATGGAATTGGATGGAAGAACTGGGAGTAGGCTAGACAGTTTTGGAGTTTTCAGCCATTAGGTTAGTAACACTAACTAGTGGAACTGTACAGTTACAACACACTTTGTATCTGTCACTTTCAATAGGAAAATATTCTTTATTTCTCATCACTTCAATCATTCTATACTCCTAAAACTGGCAGCAAAGCTTGGCTTGACATAATGACTCTGGAATTAAACAGAAGTGCACAAGTGGCAATCTGAAGTGACTGAACAAAAGACATGTGTGAACACACATAATAGTCTCACAAGTGTATTGTTCTCATAAATGAAGGCAGACAAAGGATTTTCCACCCTTAGTCTGGACATGTTAATTGACAAATGAAGTCCACTTGTAACAGACTGCAAGAACATAAAAAGATGTCAGCTTTCTTCTTCTAAGTTCTAGCTTTACTATAGATAAAATGTTAATGCAGTGTTTAATGTTGATAGGATTAGGAATGTATCAATTAACAGGGCAAAACTAACAATTTGTAACAGCCTCAAAACTTGCTGTAATGTATCTGTAGCCAATTTCCGTGCAAAGTAAAGAGCTTTCCTGATTTTTGGAGCAGCACGAATCCAGGAAATATCAGGATTACGTAGACTAGAAATGTGCCAGGAAGTTGTTTTTTCATTTTTCCCTCGTACAAAACAGCCAGATGACCATTTGCCTGTACCAAACATGATTATTTCAAGACCGCTCGGAACAACAAAAACAAAAGCAGAAATGATCAGCATTTTCACACCACCGGTACTGATGGGTTTCTAGTCGTTTCCCCCCCATGCCTTTCCCCCCCCATGTCAGTCTGGTCATTTCCCTGTCAGTGGTTATGACTCCTAAAGTTATTTTTTTCAATCTAAGATAAAATTATGTTACTATAAGTGTTTACATGTGATGTCGTTGTTGCATACTACTTTCTTTTATGTTGACTACCGTTTTGCCTGATGTTAGCACAGCGCCAGATGCAGTGACAAGTTATACAGAAATATCCATGATTGAAAAAATTGAAACGTAAACATCTATGATTTAAAATATTTTAAACATAAACGTCTCTGACTTAAACATTTAAACACAAGCAAGCAGTCGCTGAAATCTCCAACTTGACGCCGCCTAGTGGTGGGGGAACCTGGCATCCCCGCCCGCCCCAGTAAAACTGTCGGCTTGTTAGTCTGTAAAATTCTATGAAACTGGGGAAAAACTACAACAAAAGTACAGATATCGCACTAACTATCACATGTAAACAGTTATAGTAACCTACGTTTATCTTAGATTTTAAAAATAACTTTAGGAGTCATAACCACTGACAGGGAAATGACATGGGGGGGAAAAGGCATGGGGGGGAAACGACCTGCTACCTACTGATGAGCCTAATCAGCTCTCCCATATGCATTCGTATGCAGATGAGTTTGGGGCCAAGTGGAGCCATATATGACGCAGATGAAAGGAATGGAGAACAGCTGTGTAGGTTTTGTCATAATTTAAGGGCCACAGCTTGGCTAATCCGCACCACATTCTGCACTGGACATTTGTCCTACTAGCTTCCTGTCCAAAAGTCTGACAAGAAATCGTCTTTTCTTTCCTTCTTCTTTAAATCAATGGACTACTTGCTATATTCTGCAATATTACGATTTAATAGAGATCAAGAAATTGAATCTTATAATAATGTATAGAATACATCACTAAAAGAAAAGCAGAAATATAACTGAAAATTTGAAATTGTTTAACATTTTCTTTGGGTATTCTTCTGACCCAGAATCTAAATATTCCACTCACAAGTAAAATCTACACCAAGACAAATTAATGACGTTATACAGTACTCCTATTTCTACCATCTATGTTTGAAATTGAGATTTTACTGCTCCCTGAATGATCCTAATCCACACCAATAATTGGATATAATTGACCATAGAACTCTCCGGACATGTGGCTATCCCTGTGTGAGTGGGTAAACTGAAATCCAGGCCTGTCGTAAAAAACTCACCCCCCAAAATTCGCTGTCAGGCCTGCACTGAAATCTAGCCGATGACACGATAGAATGAAACCAATGCGCCCCTGATCCCTCCTGCATTCTGGGCCAGGCTTTACCAGTCCCTTATGGGTGTGCCACCTTCTGGAGTTTTCCCAGAACTTCTCAATGGACCGTAACAAATATTATACTGAAGGAATACCTAGCAAACAGCATTTGCGATACACCTATTAGAGATGTTCAAACAAGATTTAAGTCAATGAGACTTGCTTTTAGAATCATAGATATTTCATGCAGAATTCTCTTACACAAACCTGTCTATGTACCAAAAATCTTTACTATTATGGATCTTGTTTAGAGTTTAAGCTTTAGATCCAACACAGAACGTTCTCTCACCTAGAGCTTTCGACAAGACACTCTGGTCTTCCTCTGTAGATTGATCGAAAGCTCTACGTGAGGGAACTTTTTGTGGTGGATCTAAAGATTTAACTTTAAACATGTAACTGCCAACACCAATGAATTTTCATGATAGTATTATGGATCTTGTAGGGATGTCTAAAGAAGTATCAGGATTCTGGACACAAAAGACTTTTAGCCACTTTTAGCCTCCTAGACTGTACATCTACCAGGCCAGACACAGAGGAAATGTCTGCCTTCCTTTCCCCTGACTTATTTACACCAGAGACAGGGAACACAAGCAGAAGGTAACCCCATACAGCCTGGAAGGTGGGGAAAGCCTGGGGAAGGCAGGACTGACACGACTGAGTGAAACCTATGCCTACTGATGTCAACACTTTTTAGGGATGTTCCATGCCATTTGAGGGTGGGGGTGGGGGTAGATGCACGAATGTTTGCAACCTTGAGAAAAGATTTGGCTCTGTAAATATATAGTTTACAACAAGAATCAATACCACTGCTATCTACATTTGTATATATCAAACGTGAGTTCTCACTTTTAAATGGTGTACAAAATAGACATCATAGCTAAATTTTGAGTATTAGTATTACTTTATTCTTTTCCATTGCCTGCCGGGCGGCCCTGCCCTATAAAAATGTACTGTACTTGTCTTTCTTTTTCCAGAATTGTAACATGGACTGTTTCCTTCCTCTAGTTTTGACTTTCTTGTACAGGAATGTGTGGAATGCTACGTTCGTCACTCCTGGCTTCGAAACTATGTAGATCTCTAATGAAATCTGGCTACTGTAGAAGATTTGCTAGGATACTGGGGGGAAATCGGAAGTTTTTACTGTGTATTAAACACTGTTATTACATGTACCGCCTGTCTGTATTTGCATGCACGGGGAGCTAATAATATAAAAACCTGGCTGCGTGGAGAAGAAAATAAGGTAGAGCTGTGTACCTAAACAAATTTTAGGTACAGGTACAGGTACAGGTACACAGGTTTAGGTACAG